AGTATGTCTTGCATAGGTAGTTTTCAGTGACCATTTCATTACAAAAAGCTGTTATTATCAAACAAAAATATTTGCTGGGCTACTTATTTGTGTTCTTGGGACCTCTTTGTTAGTTTTTCAAGGGCAGTGAGTTATATTTTTTTCACATACTTATTCTTCATTGCACAGTAGTATTAGTGTACAAGATAAAAAATAATGATGATTTTATTATATTTTAAATTTACCCGGACTTTAGTTTTCGCAATCTGTCCAACTGTAATGCTCAATATTGCAGATAGCTCAACAAGGTGTTTAGAGAAGAGTATTGATGTACACCAACAAATCCAAACTTTAATAGTGAAAACAGATCATCTGGCCTTGAAACTGGGCAGCAAAAAATAAATGCCATAGCAGATGATGAATTACACAACTTGATATTAAACTGAAGTAAAGAACCGATAATATTAGTCAAAAAATGATGTCAGTGCTATCATCTGAGTTGTGATACCATTTTCCTACCAAGTCACGAAATTTTAATACAGGCCGAGGTCACGGAGGTGGAACTATGAATACAGATATTTGTTCGTGGGGGAAAAATTGAACAGAACAGAAAACGAACGTGATAAAAAATAATTTGTTCCTTCGCTATTGCTTGCGGCAAATGAATACCACGGGATAATGGCTAACGTTCGCTGGATAATGTCTCTGACGATCCAGTATAGCGTCCGCCATCTTGTTTTGTCTCTTTGGTAGTACCCAGACCCTTGCATCACAGCTAGATCGCTCGACCCCGCTCGTTTCAACGCCCTAGCTTCTTACGCCTTGATTTAAGCCATGGAAATCGCGTTAACCGAAGATCAGAAGGCTTGGATTGGAGGTACTAATGTGCTGTAAGCTACCGCACATTTGTTAAGCTTTCATTTACACTGGATCGTAATCGCGTCGACTGTGAACATAAGGGGGAATGTATTCTTTGAGCATAATGGAACGATCAAAGTGTGGGCAGGCTGAGTTTTTAACCCTTATCGGCTCTCAAAATCAGATAGATTTGAAGTCACGTTTAAAACTGACTGCAAACGTCAGATTCACCTAACGTCTGTCTTCGAAGATATCTCAGTGTTCGAATAAGCAAAAATGGAATAGGAAATGAGCCGTTAACAACCACTCAAAACAATTCTTGCGGATAAAACCTGCGTGAAACTGCTAAGTTTTATGTGGAAGTAATGAACAGTAAGCGACAAAAAGAGGGGAAATTTGGTCACGCGGTATACAAATTCACGTTTACCGTTTGTCGTAGAGGTGACTCTACTTGTGTTATTGTTGTTCTTGTAACTCGTGTTCCATCGAAGCACTTACACTTCTTATGTCCGTGCGTTCCATAGATGAACCGATTGTTAAGGAAACCTAACACAAAGTCAAACAACTAGTACAAGAACTACATGAGAATAAACACATTGATGACATGAAAAAAAAATTGGTGTTTCAATCACCTAGCCCGCCTAGAATTCCAATTTTCTAGACTAGAAGAATTTCAAAAGCACCTTAGAAAGAGAGAGAGAGAGAGAGAGAGAGAGAGAGAGAGAGAGAGAGAGAGAGAGAGAGAGAGAGAGCCAGAGAATGGGCACTTTTGTAACGTAAAAGGGAACTTTTGTAACACACCTCGGGCACTTTAGTAACGAAGAAGGGAACTTTTGTAACGGTAGGGAACTATTGTAACTCTGATAGGGCACTTTCGTAACAGGCAGTAGGGCACTTTCGTAACAAATCGGGCACTTTCGTAACAGATCAGGCACTTTTGTAACAAAATGAGGAACTTTGGTAACACCCATTTCTATTCATTCAAATCATCTTTTTTTCGTCATTCCCTCACTATGTGCCAAGAATAAAGTAAATATTATCACCTGGATATACAGTAAGAATGTATTATGATTTTTGCAAACTGAAAATGAAAACATGCCGTTGCATGGGTTCACTTTGAAATCAAAATTGCCAAATGGCTAATAAAAAAGAAGTAGACGTGTGACTGTGTGCCTGTGTTTTTTTTTTTCTTTTGCTGAGTTAAGCTTAGCGACTGCTTTCTTTACATAAACAATGACTTGACTCAGAGCGCCAGAAGCTTAAATGCTAATATTGCGCTCTCGGTTCGTGCACTTTAAAAAAATGGGCATAATGATAGATACTGATTTATCGTGATGTGATTGATTTATTTTACCTGTGTAAAATGAAGTTCAAGCTAGTAATCACAAGTAGAATATGTTACATGTAACAGGAAGGGGCAATATGAGGCGCGCCGAACATAGCCGTACATGGCCGTTCATGGCCGTACGTAGCCGCGTTCATAGCCGTGCATATCCATACATAGACGTACATAACCGTGCATAGTCGTGCATGGCCGTGCATAGCTGTGCATTGTTGTATATAGTCGTGCATAGCCCTATATAGCCTTTGCGTGGCCGTACATAGTCGTACATGGCCGTGCATGACCGTACATGGCTGACGTGGCCGTGCATGGCCGTACATAGCCGTGCATGGCCGTACATATCCGAACATCTTGATGTTTTTATAATCTAAAAAGGCTGGTTTTCTATCTAAAGCGATACGAAACACCTTTTCTTAGCCTATTTCGCCTTAAAAGAAAGACGAAGAAATTTCAAAACTTGGACCAAAACGATGGACTAACCCCTTTGGAAAACCGTCAATTTTTCGACTTTTTTAAATGGATGTTTCTATAGTCTAAAAAGACTGGTTTTCTATCTAGAACAATACCAAACACTTTTTCTTAGCCTATTTGGCCTAAAAAGAAAAGAAGAAGAAATTCATAATTTTTACCAAAACCATGGACTAATCTCTTTGGGAAAATGTCAATTTTTCGACTTTTTTCAATTAATGTTTTTATAGTCTAAAAAGGCTGGTTTTCTATATAGCCTTATGTAGCCTTACATTGATACATTCTTCTGGCAATATGTTTGAGTCGCTTTTGAAATGTCCGCAGGTGCGCCGTCCTACGAAAGTTAATAGCCTTTCTTACGACATGCAAGTTAAATAAAAGTTGTCATTTTAAAATTAAGTTCAAGCTAGTACGAGTAGAATATCGTATATGGAACTGTATGGGGCGCGCCGCCGGCCAGTTCAAAAAAGAAGTTACTTTAAAAACTAGGATCAGGGGTAGAATATGTTACATGGAACTGTATGGGGCGCAACGCCGGCCCGTTCGAAAAAAAAGTTCGTTCTAACTTCTCCCTTCTTACTCCAGAGTAGTCGGTTTTTTACCTTACTTTCACTAACAATGAGAAAATTCCGGCATCCTTCTTCTTTCCGCCCACCAAACCTGGGTATACAGTAAATATATCGCCATTTTTGCGGAATTTGAAACATGGGTTGGGTTCCCTTGGAAAACGAAATTCCCAAATGGCTGATAATTATTTGCTGACCTTAGTGTGGCGACTACTGTCTTTATATAATAAACAATGACTTGACTTAGAGCGCGCGAAGCTTGAAAAGCTTATATTGTGATGTCGTTCTGTACACTTGAAAATAGGCTGGTGATAGATTTGGGCGAATTCATCGTAATGTCATTGTTTAATTTCACCTGTGTAACAACAAAGGCTAATAAAAGTTCAAGGCTTCACATGAGCATTTCCCATTAATAGGATCAGACTAGATTAAGTGTAACAATAACAACGACTAATATAAGTCTACAAAAAACCCAAATTCAAGACTTCTCCTAAATTAACATTCTCCTTTGCACTCTTTTTTATCCTATAAGAATATGTTTTATGAGAGTATCAAGGCAAAATTGCGAAATTTTAAGAATAAACCCCAGGCTGAGAATTTCAAAAGGACTAAATTTGATGTTGAAAAATCTGTAAATACCTGTACAGTACAGTCATATGTCTTTAACTTAACCGTATAAAATTATCAATTTTAAACAGATCTAAACAAAGAACACTGGTAATTGAAACCTCAATACATTCTAAAATGGGAATACCATAAGCTATAATTTAAGAATAGTTCAAGAATATTTTTAACCTTAAATAGACAGTAAAATAAAAACATTCAGCCCGTGCCGGGAAAACAACATTCTTATATAAAAAAGAGTGTATTTGGATCAAATTAACTGTAACAACAACAAAGACTAATAAAAGTTTAAAAATAACTCAAGTTCAAGAGTTCAAAAGAGTTTAAAAAACGTTTACAACGAGACCTTTCCTATATAAAAAACGCTCGTTAGTAAACATTACGCCGGTACACATATGGTCATTCATTTGTAACATCGCCCGCCCCTTATGGTTTTTTTTTTGTTGTTGTAAAGCATAAAAAGAACAACAACCAAAAAATACTTCAACGGACAAATGCGATAGTCGTACGCGTACGCTGCAAATGGATCCACGCATGATTTCAACACCTAAAACTAGAACAATAACCAGAGTAACAGTAAACCCTGTGTGCTATCACCATTGTTTCTAACAGGTTATTCGTGTTTTTTAATAAATTGAAGAGCCAGTTCTTTGTAAATCAATAAAAAGGTGCACTTGAAAGCGGGCTGAAGATAAACCACGATAAGACCCCTCTAAATGGTTTCCACGCTGTCCCGAACATTAGCGGTACAATATTTAAAATGTTCCTATTCAAAGCCAACGGATTTGAGTAGGTTGGTAATATTGTCGAAATCAAAATTAAACTTGTTTATGTGACTAAACACCCTAAGAAAGACCGTTAGTTTGTTCTGTATGTGTGTACGCTACTCCCAAAAACCCAGATCGGGCTCTTTTGTAACAAAATGAGGAACTTTGGTAACATTTATTCCTACTCATTAAAATCGCTGTTTTAACAGGAATAAAGTAAATACACCTGCACCGTCAAAATGCAAGCTCAAATAAGCTCATTTCCCCCTCACCGGCCCTGGGTATACAGAAATTATATCTACACTGGTTTTCGCAGATTAAAGCATGGGTTAGGAGAGATGTTCATTTGATGTGTTCATTTCCACTGAATTATTGACAATCATACTGTCAATTAACTTAGACGTTTTTTGAATTTTTGTAAAGACGTCTTTCATATTTTACTCGATTAAGTACAGTGTCTAAGGAGGCTTTCTTTAAGATACTTCTACCCCAACTTTCCTTTTGAAGAAGCTCCTTAATTCTGGTTTTACATATTGGGGCATTTTTCTCAATCATGTCACGAAAAACTTCCTGTATGTTTTCCTTGTCAGAAGAGGAAAACATATTCTTTACGCTGCTTGTTACTGTTGGTGGAATTATGTCACTGTTTGCGTCCTCTTCCAGTGATCTCTGGACACGTTGTTCTAACGTTTCCTGCTCCGAAGGGGGACTCACAATTTCAGTAGAAGATTGTTTTGCATACCTCCACTGTGAGCGCACTTTGTCAAGTACCCTTTTAGGATCTTCGTCCTTGAGTTCAGCATGATTAGCTATATTTGACCTCACAGCCTCCATGGTGACCTCCTTTTGATTTATCTCCTTTTGAAAGAGTGTCCGCAAGACAGCTTCCCTTTCAGCCGTCCAGGTTACTTTGGACGTCGTGGACTGACACTCCTCCTCGGCGGAGATCTTTGAGCATGATTCAATATCTTGGCTTTCTTTCTCAAGATCATGGCTTATTTTTTGTTGCGGTTGTTCGCGCATGACAGTACGCAGCTTCCTGGAGGCTTTGACGGATGACTTTGCCTTCTCCTGTAGTCTGTAGTACTTGCGTGCAGTTGCGACGTCATGAGCCATCAGATTGGCGAGATCATTATGCTCTTCGCTGCTGCTGGCTACATTGTGAACTTTTGACACTGCTGACTTTCGCAATATTGTTGAACTGGGATCGCCATCAATTTTTGCTTTTTTCCATACGGACTTCATCGACTTGCTTATTTGGCTTGAAGCTAGAGATTGTGCATTCCATGACAGGAACACGCGACTGTCATCATCATTTGTAACACCAGTAACTTGGGAACGAACCTCTCTCACAAATATGGTCATCCAGCTGTCTAATTTGGCGCTTAAAACAATTCTTGCCGGACCATGGCTTTCAAGGGTCTTGTGATCCTTAATTAGAAGTACATTGTCTTCACCTTCTTTTCTCCTTTTTTTAAACTCACCCATCGTCATGTTTGCGAGGGCTCCCGATCTGATGGCATTGTCTACAGAAATTTCGACAATTAAGAAGTCTCTTACCAATGTGTATTGAGCCTGCGTTAAGGTAATGCAGTGGGCACCTGACAGCTGCCCTAGAAGACAGATAGCTTCACGGGAAGCTTCGCTTCTTTCAAATTCATTGATCTGTTCTGGCGATATGAGTGAGTGCAAGTCTTCCTCCATTTTTTCCCAGTGTCTCTTTGCGCTAGAGTGGCGGAATGATGAAGACCACCTGCTTACTTTTTCTTTTAAGGCAACGATTTGTTCTTTGATATGCCATCGCAAAACTCACAAGTTAAGGAAAAGGCATAGAAATGACGGAGGCTCATCAAGTATGACTGTGTTGTTTTAGGGTGATAATTCTTCTTGGCGTGCCCTTCTAGGAACTTATCATTGATGACCTGACTATCATACAAGGAAGCCAATTGTTTTTTTTCATCTACTATGCTCAACAGCTTTGATGCCTGCTTGCAGTGTTGTTCCGAGGTCTTGGCATCCAACTTTCCACCGTCAGCAGACGACATCCACTTCTGAAATTGTTGGAACACCTCTTGTACATGAATATCCCCAATGATACTTTCTCCTGTACTTTCATTGCTTACAGTTTTACTGCTTTCTGTCTCATTTTCGCTGTCTGAAATAACAAAAAGCGGTTCTGTTTCTCTAGAAGCTTCAGGCTTTAACAGTTGATCTACTTCATCTCTAACTCTTCTCTGGTGATAGGGCACACAACGGGAATCAGGCACACGCTGTCTTCTTCACTTGATTGGCATTTAATTTATGAACACTCCTCAAATGAGGAGGGAGCCTTGTCACCATCACTGTGCAGCCTGGCAAAGGACAACGGCGGTGGTAGTGATAGTCCTTGGACACTTTTTGGTTTCCTTCTTTTTGTTTCTTTACGTGTTCTTCTTTAATCTCCTTCTTTATTTGGGGGGCTTTGTCAGGATTTGAGAACGTGTATTTTTTTCTCATTCCAAAACGAACTAGCGCTGTTTTTGCATGGCTCTTCGACCACCCATGTACTTCTTCAAGGTGCCTTGGTATGTGAATAACTGTAGCTTTGCAATAGCTCAGAGGGCAGGGCTTACGTTTCCGTTTTTTGCTAGCAGAATCCTAGACAAGAAGACAATAAAAAATATTAATTATGACAATAAAATTACTTGTCCTTTAACAGTGTCTACAGCGAAGATAATGAAGGGTGGGGTTTGGCTGGCCGTGTGTTAACAGTTTTGCAATAAATTGTAGGCACTTGGTCGTCTCATACAAGTAAAACGCCATGCTCAAAGCAATGCTCCTGAAAGGAGCATTGCGCGACGAGCCTAAAAGGACTACATTGTAGTTGATGTACGTAGCTAAGAAAAGTTTTGTTTATGTTCATGAAAAAGCTTCAGTGAAAAGCTCCCATAGATCATAGGCAGATGATTGAAATGCACCAATCAGAGATAGACTGAGATCTCGTCGTGCGCAATGTATTTATTACAGAAATTATAATCAAATTAGACGTGGCCATTCACTTAGCAGACTTCCGGTGAAGAAGTTAACATGTCTATTACTCAAAAGAAGAAAAGTAAGGGTATTTGTATGGAAGGGTATCCGTAAAGATATGATTTCTTACTATTCCGCCGCACTGACAATTAATTCCACAACCACGACGCCGAATTGCACCCAATATCCTACGCCAGACAAGAAACATTTCGAAACCAGCAAGGTGAAACGTGGTCGATCTGATCGAAAAACTACGGAACACAGGTAACAAAGGATTATGATGGAGCATTTAGTTTTCCTGTGGCTGTACTGGCACATGAGATCGGAGCGTTGAATTCAGTGAGAAACAGAGGAAATTCCAGTTGACAATTAACCAGGACAAATCAACAGACAATGATCATAAAGGTAAAGGAATATTAATTTAGAACTTGATTATATGTACATATTTGTTGACTACTCTTCAGTCGAATATAATTGACTCTCCAGCTCAGCTGATCTTCTTTTGTCTTTTTATAATCCTGATATTCTTATCAGTATTCACTAATGTATGCTCGTCCGAATGTGACACAATGTGACAAAATATCATGTCGGTGTGATGTCTGCGGTATCGATAAATCGTTGTTTCAAACATTAAGTACGTTTTTTTTTTCGTGTCAGGCCATGCACATTTTGATGTCAAACGCATTTTTATATATCAAGAAAGGGGAGATCAGGTTTTGATCAGTTATCCAACCCAGGCTGCTCGGTCCGCGACCAACCTGGGCGGGGGTTGGGGGGGGAGGGTAGGATACGTTAAGGAATTCTTGGTGGGGGTGTGCCGCCCAGCTCTTTAAATCCTGACCCGGTTTCAGACCAAAAACAGTAATTTTCCACACCCGTTTTGAGACTAGACCTCTAAAATCCATACACATTTTCACATCTGGCCTTTAGGCAGAAATTGTCTGCCATATTGTCTGCTGTCTGTCATAGTGTTGGACTGAAGAAAAACTATTCTTCTAACAAGCTCCTTCAAATTACCATTACTCACCATGTTGGAAATTGTACTGGGTAGTTTTCCCACCAAGCTCTTACAGCTCTTGGAACAAGGTTGGATGGCATATTGCTGATCAAAACATCATCTCCCCTTTCTTGATATATGAGAATGCGCACAACATGACACAAATAATAATGTATACGAACACAAGGTCTGCTGATCAAAACCTAATCTCCCCTTTCTTGTTTTGTAAAAATGCGCTCAATTTGACATTAGAATATGCATTACTTGACATGCAAAAAAACCCTATACTTAATGCATAAAACAACGATTATTGATACAGCAAACATCACACCTACACAAAAAATAGAACTGACATAAAAATATGAACAAATGACAAATACATAACAACTCAAGCATTAAAATGTACTTGACACGAAAAAATTGTGCAACTTGATATTTTGTCACATTTGGACAAGCAGTACTTATGTCGGGCTGTCTGTTTTTTGAGAGTCACAAGACCTTTGACTACCAATTTGTAGACACATATATTTAGTAGTATCTTTATCCCACCTTGTCAAATTTTTATAAAAAGAAACACTTACCTCTTTCGGTGAATCAGAGGACTTTTCATGTACATGTACATCATCTTCTACATTGTCAATCTCATTGTCTCCAATTTCATTATCCTCTTGGCTCGAGCTCTCAACACTTTCATCACTTTCACTTTCTTCTTCTGGGTGATAAGAATCCGGCATCAAATAACAATAAAATTCAAATAATGATCCAAGCTCAGTATATAGAACGCAGATATCCATATAAGTGAAGCATTCACATATCCAAGCTGAATAGGAAGTACTCAGAATGACAATTATAACCAAGAACCTTGTTTAGTTCAAAGGGCACAATTTTTTTGCTTTCATCTGTCAATTTCCTTTTTAGCAATTCACTAATCACTTAACTGTTTGGATGATTTTGTCCTCGTAACGTTTGTCCAAAACAGTAAACATTACTTTCGGTAAGTTAAAGAAAACAAAGCTTGAAAGGTTTGTTTTTTTTAAATATACAACCTATAGCTGAGAACCATGCAGCAATCCTCAAAAGGACTTCATTTAAAATTTATTTATTTATTTATCAGATTACCACCAAGAAAAAAAAATACAAATTTCTGGTGACAGGGCAGCCTGAATAGAAAACCATGAATGGAACCTATTCATTACAATATTTAAAGCTACCCATTTACGAACGTTGGAAAATAAAACAGCCAATTAAAAGTTACTTGAATACATAAATGACAAGAATAAGCTAAATATACTAGATAACAAGGCTAACAGGTGTAATTATCAATCAACAATATTAAATAAATTCAGGGTGTTATGTTATTATTATTGATTCTAATAATTCATTCATTCATTCATTCATTCAGGCGGCCTCAGCCGAACTAGTCACCTGGCCACCCAGTCCGTTCGGCATTGGTGACTCGGTCCCACCAACTGGTATAAAAGCAGTGTTTATTCTAGAGCACCGCCTTACAGATTTCCACAATTTGTAAAAAAAAATGCATGAAATTTTCATTGCTGCGTCAAAATAACCACGGAAAAGTACTATTTTTTTTCCAAATAAAGTATTTGAAAACATCACTGACAACAACACTGATTTGACCGGGCTCTGTAAACTTACTTTGAACTTTTATAGCCTGCTACTGTCTCAATTGCTTTTCTTTTCTTTGTTTGAGTCATTATTTCACCTTACAAACATCCGGGATTCTACAGTAATGCGAGCTCAGGCTTTTTTAGTTGCCCAGAATGTTCAAAAAGGTGGTAAAGCGTTTGGCAAGTCTGACCCATGTAGAATACCTTTTGGGGGACCCCCTTCCTTGAAAAGGGCCCCCTAAAATAACCGAAGAGGACCCATATAACCCTCATTGGCCGGTTTCTAGAATAAACTCTGTTAAGGACATGGCAGAGCATGTGGGTATATGGTCCATTAAGCAACCTTCAATCCTAGACTTATTATTAAAAAAAACTAGACTATATTACATAATAATATAAATTAAATAGAATAAATGGAATAAATATGAAGACTTGTAAATCAACAATATGAAATTAATTAGGACAGATTTCCTTGTTGGACTAAAAATCTATGTATTCTTTGTAAAGACTTTTTTTGAAGTTTCCTTTTTGAGTTCAGCAGGAAGGGTATTCAAAAACTTAATCAACTCTTATTCCATAACCCTTACTCTAAAAGCAAAGAACTAGATGTGAATAATTGTGGGAAAGGGGTAAGGGATGACGTACTCCAAATAATAGGTCACTTTTTGCCTATTATAAGGGTGAAAATAATCCCAAGCACAGAAAAGAGGAAATAATCCTTTCAGGAATCCCCCTTTGTCCAAGGAGGAAACCTAAACCCTCCTGAAAGTAGAGCCAGACACTTAACATGAACCTCCAGGAAGAGAGGTTGGACTGAAATATCTACAAACAGACTGTAAATATGTAACATAAAGACTGTCATAAACTTGAAATATACAATACGATAAGCACAAAGAAAGTAAATGCCTATGCTTTATAGCAGTGTCAGCTTAAATTGTTCCTCTTAGTACCATCCCACCCATTTTTTGCCATATCTCCATGACAACTTAACTGTCAGTAGATTAACGTTGAAAAGATAGTTCTTTGTGGCTATTCTTATTTTTACAACAAGACGAGTCCAACAAACTTATTGAGTTTTAAATAAAAGCAAAGAATTTGAAAAAACTTCACAAGACCAGAAGAAAGAATAAAAAAGTAATGAAAGAGGGTGGGAGATATGCAAAGAGAAGCACATACTGCTGTTTTGATCAAATATTTAGCTTCAAATCATAGCAGTATACTGTTCATGTGACAGCCAACATCTGACTGGCTGAACAAATCATTCACATGAGAGGGGTCATATGCAGGAATCCTCTTGTATAAATGAACTTTTTGTTTGAAACCCTTGGCTAATTTAAATGAAAACCTCCCAAAGGCAAATGCCTCTTTTGTGCAACTCCCTTGTCACATACAGATGCTGCATTTTTTTGGA